TCAAGGAGCCATGATGCTCATAATTTTTTTTATTTTATTTTGGGTGAAGTTACTAATTATGGCACAGTCATTCAGTTTTGACGAAAATAAAATAATAATAATAATAATAAAAATTAAATCAATTTTTAACAACAATAACCAAAAATTTTTCACAAAATTAATATAAATTTTAAGTATTCCGACCGGGGAGAACAGGCCATTCTCGAGGGAGATTCTAAAATTGCGGAGGCTAACACAAATTGTACTTAATTAAAAAAAAAGATGAATTATATGGAATTCTACGCTTTGAAACAGTTGTATATAATTTCAATTCAAAAGTAATCGTGTACAAATAGAATAATCATAAATTGATTACAGCAAATGAAATTAACGAAACGAGAAAATCCTAAAATTGAAAGAAAAAAATTCATTTTCTTTTGCTCTGAAATCATCACAAATCTCAGAATACACGAGAGATTTTCTTTGAAATTTGTTAAGTATATTTTTCACCAAAAAGTTTATAGAAGTCCAGTGAAGAGAGAATTCTTATAAAATCTAGAACTCTCAATTGAATACATATAAGGTTTTAGAGAGCATTTAAAAGTCATAATTAAGGGCTTGTTTGGGAAGAATTAAAATCCAATTAAAATTGAAAATATAGTCGTTATTGGGTCCCACTCGTCTAATAAAAGTCAACTCCAACAGCTATATTTTCAATTTTAATCTGATTTTAATTCCTCCCAAACAAGCTCAAAATGCTTGTTTGTACATAACTATTTACATAATATTTTACATATTGATTAACTGTGTGTTTGGTAAAGATTAAAATCCAATTAAAATTGAAAACATAGTCGTTATTGGGTTCCACTCGTCTAATAAAAGTCAACTCTAACAGCTATATTTTCAATTTTAATCACTTTCAAACAAACTTTAAATACACTTAGGGGTGCGATTGATTGCATTTATTTTTCGTGAAAAATGTCAGTTTTCCACTTAAATTTCTACTTTGAAGTGTCTAATTGCTATATTTGCCATAGAAAATATTTTTCAACTTTTAAAAATATACTTATTTTTCCTCTTTTTAAAGGAAACATTTTATTTGAAGAGTAAATTTTTGTTTTCCTCAAAATAGGGAAAATATTTTCTTTTCTAAGATATATTTTTTATATCAATCAAACACACTCTTAAATTTTTTTAAATTCTCAAAAAATTTTAAAAGTCTCAAATGAATATATCCCTGAAATCATATTAAAAAAGGCAAAATAAATAATAATTTTAATTTTCACAAAATTCACAATTTTTAAATATATATTTTATTAATTTTATCAAAATTTACTAAAAGATTAATTTTAATATAGAAAAAATTAATGATTTTTTTTAAAGAAAAATAATCAAATTTATTTTAAAATTATTTAAAGTAGAAGAGTGAATAAAATTTGTATACTTTGATTTAGCTAAAAAAATATTTTTCAGTAAATTTTAATAAAAATTGATGAATGGTGTAGTTAAAAGTTAACAAAAATTATAAATCTTATGAAATATGCAGTTGAAAATAAAGTCGTACAAAAATAAATTTTAAAAAATGAAAGCCAAACATGCCTAAAAGAGTTGTTGATAAAATAATTTTTAAAATTTTAAATTCTCTTTTTTAATTAATCATAATATATTATTCAATAGGTACTATTTCATTTTTTCTCAACACATAAATGTAATAAAGAAAAATGAGGTTTCGATTCAAACAGCCATTGCCACTGTCTTCGCTCCGACCACCTCAATCTTCTTTATCGCTCAACTCAGTCCCAATACAGTTCCGTAATTCTTCATAACACACACATTTCTGTGGATTGAAGTGAATGATGTTTCAATTTAATGGTGAATGTTTTGTTTTTTATTATCAGGTCATCATTTGGGATAGCATTTGATATAGATGGGGTCATATTACGAGGCCAAAGACCAATTGGAAATTCCCCCAAAGCACTCAAGAGACTGTATGATGATTCCGGTAGAATTCTCGACTCAAACTTCTTTTAGATATTTGCTCTTCATACACTATAGTACTATACTATTGTTTAAATTGATGGAAATTTGAAATGGAAATTAATGACTTCTAATTTTAATTAGGGTCGTGAAATTTGAGCAATTATAGTAAAAAAAAGGATCTATAAATTCTTAAAAAGGAAGGAGCAGAAATTAGAAATTTTGTAACTGATAACACATTCTGGACAGGTAAGGATATTTTAAAGAACACCTGAGAATTGATTTTCTTCTTTCAGCGTGTTAAGAAATTCTGCAAATCTGGTCTTCTATATTCTGTGTGACAGCGCGAATAATCTTTATCTTGGTAAAAGAATTCGACCTATAGTGTCATTTTGGAAACAATTTTAATTTCTAATTTAAAAGCTTTAGCCCACTATTTGCATTGAAATGAAATTTATGTACTTTGATCATTGAATAAGTATGCTTAAATGTAATAAAAGTGTTTGCTGCAGTGGTATAATTAGTTGACATGGAAGACTTCCTCTCCCTCTTTATCTCTGTAGCTATGTGTTTCTGTGTGAGGGCATAACTCTCATTTCTCTATCCACTTTCTTTGAACAAGCCCTTGTTAGTAATCTCCCTGCTATAAAGGTGCATATTATATGTTACATCAGGGGTCTCTTTGAAGGAGATTTTCAATACTAAGGCTGGTTTACAGTGTGGATTAATAATCTGGTTGTAAATTTTCTAGCCATGTCTTTTGTTGGGTATAGACAGTGGGAGGTACACTACAGGGGATTATTATGCATTCATATTATTTGAAACTAAAATGTAATAGCCTGCTTGTAATGTAAAACTGATTTCTGCTCGTTTGCAGGTATTTTGAAGTTCCCTTTTCTGTTTTTGACAAATGGTTAGTTTCTGAATTATTATTCTTTCTTTTTATCATGTTATTTGAGGAATGGGTTTTATTTTATGTGGAAAAAAATTTAAAGATTTTTTTTTGTAATTAGTTTCTGTTCCACTATATATAGCCTGCCCCAAAACTGCCAAGTAATCTAATGATGAGAATGGGGAGTGTATCTTTTTATACTCTTCCAAGATCCAGTAGTAATTGGTTCTCAGCTTGCTCATTTTCTTCATCATTACACCTGTAATTTATTTATTTGTGTGATGTGAAATCTGCTAAAATTGTAGCCTTCAATGTAACAAACTAGTACTTAAAAAGGTCCAGAGCATTGTTTTGAAACCTGGACCAAACCGGCTGGTTCCACGGGGAAACCCAGGAAGCAGTCTGGTTTAAGGTAAAAAAATGGAAATTAGCAGACATTTAAAGAAGTAAAGAACCAGCCAGTTCACCTCAACTTCGTTTGTTCTTTTTTTTTTTTAATATTTATTTACCCCCAATTCGACCCTTTTATCTTTTCCACGTCGATGCCGTGGTTGGTTTCCAAAACATTGGTTCAGAGAAACTACTCAATAAGTGATGTTCTTGAGTCATGATTGATATAATTGTCATTTGTAGAGCACTCTTGCTTCTGAATTAAAATAACTATACTTAAGGAATTTGGGCACGACTGACTTCCATCTTTACTGATACATCTTGAACTTAATTTGTACATTATATCCAAGAATTACTATGCATGAGTAACTGACTTCATGTCTTATTTTTCAGACAAAACACTGACAAACCATTTAGAAACTAATGTTATTTTCCCAGCACATTTCCATAGGTGGAGGTTTCCCAGAGTCTAAAAGAGCCTCTGAGTTGAGCAACCTTCTAGGTGTGAAGATTTCGCCTTCTCAGGTTAGTAATTAAAATTGGCATATTAAATTCATGAAATTGTTCATATCTTTGACAGATTTGAAGTGCTTGTACTTTGGATTTAGGTAGTGCAGGGCCACTCACCTTTTAGAACTTTTCTGAACAGGTATATATATTATGTTACATAGTACGTATTTTCTTTGGTGGAAAATCTCTCCTGACATCCTGATTTATTTTTTCAGATATGGTATGTTAATAGAAACTGGAATTTCGTTCACATTTAAACGTGTTACTTATTTTAGTGAGATAATATCTCTACCCCACCCACCAATGTAACTTAGGATTAAAAGCATTCCAGTGACCCAGTCGATGTTTTGACCACCTTTGTGTTCAATGCTGGGAAAATTCCATGAAGGTATCATGAATATGAGACAGTCATATCAGTAGTCAATTTTCAGTTAGACATTTAAATAATTGGAGAAGTATCCAAGAGAGTATTTATAACTTGTGAACATTATCATCCATCGGAAATATAAGTTCAATAGTTAATAAGCAATACATGGTAAAAAATAATCTTTTTTGCTTTTCTCTTTGGAGTAAACTGACATTTTATTATATAACTATAAGATATGATAGAACATTTGATAAGTATGTATTTTTTTTTTTTGTCCCCAAGAGGCATTCAGAGGCTTTTGTTTAGATAAATAGATATTGCTGATTTTCTTTAAAAAATCTACAAATAATGAATTTTAAGTAGTTCATCTAAATTGTTGTTGAGACCTGACCATGTTATCACCAATTTTCTTCTTTTCTAGATTTGAGAATGAACTCATCATTGCTACTGGAAAAGGTGACCCTGCCGAAGTGATGTTGGAGTATGGTTTCAAGTAAGTTCCACCATATAAGGTGGTTCTAATTTTCTAATTTTTTTTGTTTGTTAGGCCAGCTTCTTTTTTTTTTTTTTTATCCTTCTGCACATTTAGTGGGACCTTAAGTTAAAACTATGCGCAGAAGAGTTCTCTCAATAGATGAGTATGCATCATACTTTGATCACATTGATCCTGTAGCTCATTACAAAGGGTGGACCAGCAAGAAGGCTTCCAATTGGCCAAAAAATTCCCCAAAGTCGGTCTCAAGCCGTAATGTTATCGCTGACAAAGTTAAAGCGGCATTTGTTGTTAGTGATCCTGTTGACTGGGGGAGGGATATTCAGGTACTTTTCTCACGTCTCTAGAGATGAACATTGAGTAGCCACTATATGTTGTCTTGAAGTTTAAATTAGTATTTCTGTGGTCATCTGACAGATACAAAGCCATCCACTCAATGGACCAATCAGTGATATATTTGACTTAAATGCGTAATCCAGATACCTTGTGTGCTGTAGCAATGCACAAAAATTAGACTCCGAGACATTGTTAGAGCTTTCTTTTGGCTTAAGGAGAAGTAATTAAAACCATAATTCTCACAATCAGACTCCAGTCACTAAAAAAAAAAAATTTAATGTTCATTTTCCATTTATTAAAAGAGTACATACACTGGGAACCTAAAAGTAGCCCCTAACTAAATTATGCTCCCAGACTGTTTTCTCTGATCGCCAATAACTGTTATATTATCAGAATTCCTTGTTCTCAATATTTTGTCTGAAAGCCATTATCATCGCACGTCATAACTATTATATGTGCAACAGGCTTCGAGGAAAAGGAAATATAATAGAGATGAGAGCAATTTCTTTTGAGCACCCCTGTACTGAAATTGCCACCCCCTCCCCAAACGACAACCCCACACACATGAAAATACAGAATAAAAGGAAAGGAAAACCCAAAACTACACATCTCCTTTAGATAATACCCCCCACTTACGAAGTATAGAGGATAGTGAAGAAACTGAGGCAACGTGAACTCATTTGGCCGATAAGTTTGGCTTTAGTATATATATATATATATATAATCATAATTCTGAAATGAGTGACGGATGAATACAGGTGCTTTGTGATATTTTAACATCTGGAGGTCTTCCTGGAGAGAAGTATGGGAATCAGCCACCTTTATATTTTGCTGCTGATGATCTAGAATATCAGGTAAGTGCTAATTCATATTATCGAAGTACATCTCCTCCACACTATCTTGTCTTCACAAAGAAAGTCTTTAACAACTCAAAACTATGAAAGTAAAATCTCCTGTGTAATCAAAACAACTCTAATGTCTTGAAGCATTTCAAGGTTTTGTTCCCACTAAAATTAATTCTAAGCATTTGAAATTGGCTTGAAAAACAACTTTCAGGGATGATAGGAATCTCTGGATTTGCGGTGTGCTTCTGCTCTAAGTTCTTGAAACTCTTCATTATTCATTTAAAAAGTGCTGATCTGCTGTCAATATATTACAGGCTGCATTTCCTTCAGAACGTCTTGGTATGGGTGCATTTAGAATAGCCCTTGAAAGTATCTTCAACAGGTTTGGTTTGTGGTTCTACCATTTCTTAGTATTCCATTAGCATCGAAATTGGTATGTATTATCTACTAATTGCAGGATGGGACTATATAATGAACGTGTATTTCATTTTCAATCAATAAATGACTATATTCTGGGGTCAATCTTCTTGAATTGAAGCATTTCTAGTTGTTTTAGGACAGAAATTTCCTCTCTGTAGTAGTGCATTTGTGAAGGAAGTTTTTGCCTTTGGTGAAGGCGTATAATTTGGACCTGCAGATCGGATTAATTAATTTGCATTAGCAAATTCAAAGAGAACAGTATACCATCCTGCTATTGTGTTGTTTGTTGCCACTCTGATTTTCAAGTGATTCTCCGTTTATGTTTTCTTGTATTATATTCTCATTGTGGGGTACAAAGATGTGGATTCTATCGTGCCTATACTATATTTATGCCAGATTGTAGTAAAACAACTCCATGACATTCCTGTTTGACTGTGCATCTTTGCAGAATTCACAATAAACCTTTGCAGTATACGTGTTTTGGGAAGCCAAATCCATTTGTTTACAAAAATGCTGAAACGATATTAAGAGAAATCCAGAAATCTTGTCATTGCGATGCCATTGCGAAAAATGCAGAACAAGGGTCACTTTCTTTCAAGACCCTATATATGATAGGTGATAATCCTTTAGTTGATGTTAAAGGAGCGCATCAGGTTCGTCTCTTGGAATGGCTTGGAGCTCGTTTGCTAAGCTTTTTGTTATCAACATATTTGCATGTTACTTTTTAGTAAAAAAAGCTACTTATTTTGAATGTAACTCTTACCTACTGTCAAGATAAGTACCTTAATTTTTATAATATAAAAAAAAAAGTAACTTCTTTCGAACTTCGACCAATAAAAGTTTATTTATTTTGAAAGTAGCTTATTTACTTTTAAGATTTTTAAGATCAGCCAAACATGCTGTCGCAACTCTTATGTGACAATTGTTCGTTACTATTATGTCAATGTGCATATAATTATATGAGGGTGATACTTGAGCTATTTTTATTTGTTCATTCTCAGGCAGGGAGCCCTTGGTTTTCTGTTTTGACCAGGACAGGCGTTTTTAGGCAAAAAGAGAACCATGCAGAATTTCCAGCTCATCTGGTAAGCCTGATTATGCTACATATGTTTCCAATTGTAGATCTGTTGTTTGATAGTGCGAGTCATTTTTACGGTCACATATTAAATAGTTTGCATCTAAAATATGGAGTGAGAACACTTTTGACTCTCATAGTTAAGAAAAGTGTAACCTAGAAAAGTTCCGTAGAATTAGAGGAAATACACAATGAGGGCCACATCAGCACGATTTTGCATGTGCATAAAACATGCATTCACAATGAAGTATCATCGCATGAACTTGCAGGACGTAATACATTGAATAGGCGGAAGTCTAACAGCAATTTTAAGTTACAATGCAAATTGGCAACCGATTGTACTCTTGTTGGTTGTGCAGGTTGTTGATACTGTAGAAGAGGCTGTGGAATTTATACTGAAAAGGGAAGTTGCTTCTTAGTCGAAATAGTAGTCATTAATTTTTAGTGAATCGATGAAAATACGATGAAACATCCATTGTTCCTTGGTTACAATGTCAAATTGTTTCATCTGTTATTTTCATTCATCTGATGCTCAAGAATCATTCATTCATCAAGGTCTCTATGATGGCTTAATGGCGTTTTTGGTATGGTGAATTAGACACTACTCTGCGATACCAAGAGAGGAAAGCTTATTTATCGTATTGGTCAGTCTTATCAAGCTAAACATGTTTGCTGAGTTAGATTGTAAAGTGCAGAGGAATGCGACTGCTTTAAGAAATGGAAGAATTAGACACAGACAACCTTGGGTACATCGGGGTGTCAATGGTTTCTCCTAAAATGCTTAAGTTACATTGTTTCTCTAACGAGTTGTCATTCAGTTGTGCTTTTATGCTTACTATTTCTTCTAGAGAAATAAAAGGGTTATTTCTTTTATAAAATGGGGCTCAATTTTATATAGAGTCAAAGAGAAGAGTAGAGATGAAAATATTTTTTTTAAAAAAAACTACGTATTTTTAGAATTCATTAAGGTCAATTATATGAATTCTCTTTCGCTACTTGTAAGGCAACTTGGCTTTTCAAAACTATCACATGCTTTTTTTTTTCATCTGCCCGCAAAAGATTTTTATACCCATCCGGAGAAAATGAGGATTAAAAGTAGATAAATAGACCAAATTGAAATTTTATTTATTAGGAATATCAACATATCCATTGTCTTGAAGAGGTTCATTTACTACAATCAAACCAGAAACCTCAGAACAAAACAAGTTCCAACAAAAACGTGTCTTCAACATTAGCAAGAATAACGAAGTCTGCAATTTTCATAGTATTACTACACAATTACTTTCCACCTTCCACGAATCTCCAACCATGGGATCAAAGGGCTTCCTCGAAATTTAAGAATAAATGCTACTTCCTATACGTGTTTAGCATAGAAAGGGCAATGGTCAAGAATCCGTGTCCCTGGTATCACTTTTGCTTTGGTTATCGTCCGTTACTTGTCGCACAAATTGTCCTCGAACACGTGGCCTTTGTTCTGCCAGTTTCTTCCTGCTCTGGTACCGGACCTAGAAAGATTGATGAGAACAATGCAAAGAAAATAAGTTCTGCTGTTAATCTCCAAATCAAAATCTGAATGACTTGTTTGAATTGATGAGAACAATGTAAACTAAGTGATACTTAAAACTCCACAGGTCAACATTATACTTTGATGGCAATATACTCGTGAAATACCTATTGCAAAGATAACCATGCAGGTAAGAATGCAATGAAACTATGCAAGTTCACGTGCACATTTCATGCATATGTGTTTGCGAAAGGAAAATTGGGTTTTACCGGAAAAGAGAAATTATTGCAATCAAAGAAGGAACAGAAATGCCTGTGCTAAAATTATCAACATTGCACACATTTACACCAAGACCTTTTTCTTCACTTGCGTGTTCCCCGGTCCATTATTGATCCGAGAATGACAGCAAACAAGTTACCTTTTTCTCGAAGCATCTTTCTTTTCTTTTCTGAAAAAATTTGCTCAAAGTAGCCTCCCTCTGTGCTGACCGGTTTTGGTCTACCCTGCTCCTGCTTCCACTGCCACTACCATCACCAGCTTCATATTGAGCAACTGTTCCATTATCACTTGCCATATTTGTTGCTTCAGTGATTGCAATAGTGCTGCCTCCGTTTTGTCCATTGCTTCCATTGTTACTTCCTGATGCACTCCCATAATTAGCAGCATTTCCTTCCAATTCTGTGACTGACTCATCACGCGGTCCATGGTGTGGAGCTTCTGCAGTTATAAGTTTCAAGGACAAATCATCATGGTTGAGCAGTTGCTGTTGCTGTTGCTGCTGCTGCTGAGCATCATAAGCATGATGATGGTGGTGGTGATGGTGATAGTGATGATGGTGATGATGGTGGTTCTGTACTTGAGCCTTCTGGTCCAAGGCCTTCATTGGTGCCATGGCTGTCTTTGTCACATTGGACTTGCCTGGGTTCACAGGCTGAATGGGCAACATGTGGACCTGCTGCACTGACTGTAAAGCAGAACATGGATGGATACCGACTGAAGACTTGGGCATTGTTTTCTCATTACATGCTTCCACCTTGGCAAAAGCATTATTCGTGGTGGAACCCATGTCATTGTTGTTGCTACTTCCATTAGATACCTGATTGGGAGTGGCTAATTCTGTCTTTGCTGCTTCAGAACTATTATTAATAGGAGAGCAGCTGTCCACATTTCCAGTTGGCGTCTGATTAGCATTGATCGTGGAGTTATACCTGAAACTTATTGGGAAGCATTAAAGTATCATTCCGACTATTTGGATCAAAGGAAAGATATATAAGTTTTCTAATTAGGCCTTGAGTTCTACACCTTGAGAAGGCTGAAAGGTTTGAATGTCTCAATGCATTATGCTGATAGGTACTAGTTCCCGTATCATCTGTGTGTCTGAGTTGTTTCAAACTGAACTCAAGGGTAGGTTTTTCCTTGGGATCATCGGTGGCTGTTTCTTTGATTTTCATAACTTCATATGGATGTTTTGGAACTTCGTCGGATACATTTCTCATCCGAGGTTTAGGCACATTGGTAATTGCACCCATCAGAGCACAATCTTTGTTCCTCAACGCTCCATATGATATGTCATTCTTGAGATCCATTTTTCCATTTTCAAGTCTGTTGCAATCTTTGCTCGAGTATGGATTCAAAATTTTAGACTTTTCAGCGTCTATAGTATCATTTAATACTCCACCTCTTTGGCTGCGTAGTTCTTGAGCATTTGGTACTCCAATCTTCAAATCTTTTCCATTGTAGCATTATCATAGCGGTGAAATAAACCATTTACTCAATTTAAATAGTAAAATATGAGATGGGTAAATAAATGAAAAGGTGCAAAGTGAATTTAAAAGAGAGAATCATACCAAGTGCAGCATCCTGATTTCGATATTCTCTTGTGAATGTTGACACCCGGTTATTGCTCATCGCCTGAGGCCGTGAATGGTTAGCCTGGGCAAGAGTTGTACTAGGAGGACCTGCTAATTCATTCCAAGGAGTCAAGGGTTGGGGGCCGTCAATTTCTACAGCCCTTCTTGACCAAGAACTCTGCATAAAATAACATAAATGTTAACTTGGAATTAGAAACTAGATCAAGCTCAATCCCTAGCATCAGAAACTTACATCTAGTCAGGTTCTTTACACATGCACGTGTCCATTAGTTTATGATAACATAAATATTTAATTAATCTGTAACGCACAAAAACATGTAAAAATATACTTTGTTTCACTTACTAGATCTTGATTAGTAGTGTTGGCTGGTATCCTTAAATGATTAAACAATGAAAGATTAAAAACACACTATCTATTTGTCTCGGTAAATTTGTCTTGGGGAAGTGAAATTTCGAATTATATACGGTAATGAATACAGGAGTCAGTTTATTCATGCGTGGAAAATCTAAGCTCTGTTTGGATCCAACTGTATAATGAAGTTTCTATCCAAAAAATCAAGATGAGGAGTTTATAGTCAAAATTGTTTTGAAAACTGGACAGGACTGGCCGGTCCAAAATCAGGAACCTACCCAGTTTTAAGCTTAAAAACCGAAAATAGCGAACCACTAGAAGTAAAGAACCTGCTGGCTGTAAATTGGTGGTTCACCTCAATTTTTTGATTTTTTAAATACTTTTTGCCGCCTTTTAAACCTCGTTCCAGGTCAATACCCCCAACCAGTTTTCTAAACAATTCAGTCAAAAATAGTTTTTACATGTAATAACTTTCGGAAATAAATCCAATCACTGGATACATAAGGGAACCGATGCTTCTATACAGGTCACTAACATGTCCAACATACCTGCTCCAAGGACTACACTTTACTACCATAAAAAGCTATTCAAGCTCGGTATTACACTACATAATAAGAAATACATCAGAAAAATGAATAAACTAATGACTTGGGCTTCTTGTCCAGCATATATTTACGTCAAGAAAATCTTCATCTTTCTATCATCTTGGCATTCCTTATTAGCATATACACATCCCTAGAATCATTTATGCATCCTGGTAATTGATGCAATGATCCCATTTATTGAATAAACAATCTAAAAAATCGTTGCATCAAGTCCAGTTCTTAATACTCTAACCTCTAAAACTTAGCTGTAAAGGAAACAAACTAATTCATTCAGGTGACTGCTCATTACTCTATAACGCAAGGAAAACTGCATGCATGCAACAGATGAACATACAAGAAATGTGAACCTCCAGTTGTGGCATTTTGAAAATAGGTATTACCTGAGTTTCACTTCCACTTCCATTTTCACTTCCATCCCAAACATTCAAGCCAATGCTTCCACTGTCGTCCTCATCATTGCTGGCACCATAATTATCTAACTTGAAGCTTTTTGACTTTGGAGATTTTTGAGTTCGTATTCCACTTTCACTTCCACTTCCACTTCCACTACCACTTGACTGATATTAAAGGATGAGAACTTAATGCATTATAGAACGACATGCTATGCAGAAAAGAAAAATAAAAATAGAACTTTCAAAAGAATCCAGATGGAGTCCAACATTCTCTGCTTTAAAAGTTATCCATGTCCCGATCACCCAAGTCGTCTTTCCTCAGCTTATCTTCAACTGTTGCCATCTCCACTTGGTGATTATTCTTTTATCTTATCTTATTCATCCTACTACAACTACACATCAATCTTAATGTTCTCATTTCAGCTACATTTTTTGTATGGGCTTTTTGTCCTAACCCTAAACCTGACACGTGAAATTTCATAATTCAGTAGCGGCAAGACTAGAATGTTCTAAACCACTTCATCTAAAGGCTAAAACTTAAAATAAAAGGTTACATCCTAGTAATACTCTCGCCCAAGAACTCTAAACTTTAGAGTTCTCTAGGGTTTCAATTACTTAGTGCATATATGGTCACACCCATCCTAATACTAATCTCGTCAAGCGCACCATTTGTACTAATTGTACTGAGATTGGATCAAGGAACTAAATATTACTTACACTGTGGCATTTTCTCCAAACATGCTGCCAGAGAGTTATAAGCTCATTCTTTCTAATAGGCTTCACTAAAAAGTCAGCTGCGCCCTTTGACAAACATTTAAAGACTATACCCATAGAATCATTAGATGACATCACTGCAAGAAAAACTCATCAGCTAGCAGTTTAGAAGTACGAATTCTTTAAAATCGTGCATAAGATGTTCTTGACATAAAAATAGCTAGACAGAAAATTGTAACAAAAACTCACTAATTACTGGAATATTCTTGCAGGTCTTGTGGTTCATAATCATGGATAAGAGACCAATGCCAGACAAATATGGCATAGCTACCTCTGTTAAAACAAGATCAATGTGATTGGTAGGATCTTCTAAAATTTTCCATGCTTCTAGACCATGAGCTACAGCTGTAACTGCAGATATTCAATTCAGTTGAAAGAACCATAAGAATATTAGACGAAACAATAAAGACAGGCAAAATGAAATGATAGTTTAGTTGTACACACTACACAAAAATGCATGCACTAAATAAGCAATACTATCAATAAAGATATCAACCTCAAAGAGATTGCGTGAAGTCTTCAGAATTGCATTAGTTACATAAAGAAATATAACCTCATGTCCATAGACTGGAAAATTTCGAAGGGACCATATACTATGGTTTTTGACAAAGAACCTTAACCTTTAATTTGAATTAATCTAATGATCTGAATTAAAACCCTTTAAAATCCCAAAATAGGCCCACCTCAAACACCCATCAAATACCCTTCCCCCTACCCCCACCTAAATCCTGCCTACCCTATCCCATCCCATCCTGTCTCCCCTTCCCCTCTCTCATTAATTGTCACTATCATTCTTAAGTTCTGATTTTAGTTAATGGCTAATTACAATCAAGTCGTGCTCTTTCTGAAGAGAATATGTTGTTGTACAAAAATTCTCTCTAATAAATGATAGACAAATAAATGACTTATAAAATATTAGAAATGTCACGAAGAAATTAAACAAAATGGTTCTCTACAATGATTTTTCCAATATGGAAGATAATATGCTGTTATACAAAAATTATATCTAAGAAATAGTGGACAAATCAGAAAATGCTTTTAAAATATTAGAAATTTCAAGAAAAAGAAAATGCTATTCAACATGGTTTTTCTATAGAACATTGTGAAATTTGTTAAAGAGACATTTCAACACAGCTCATTAATATATGAAGGACTATTCTAACTTTCAATTTAAAGTGGAGCTCATTTGCCATTATAGTGTAGAGAGAAGACACGAGGGGGGGGTGTAAGCCGTATTTAGATGGTGGTGGGGAAAGGATATTCTATTTAGGGTGGGACTCATTTTGAGATTTCAAAGGGTCTTAATTTAGACTTTAGATTAATTTAAATTAAGCATTGAGATTCTTTGTCAAATCCATTTAACAGTCTTGGACGTGTCAGGGACATGTCAGGATCATGTTCCTTGCTTATCAAAAAATCAAAAGAATTTATGAATATAAGACATGTCATGAGGTGCGTAGGAGTCCACACAAGTTGAATACCACCACTCCACCCTAGGAGTATCATAGTCCACAATGTATGAATACTACCAACCTTAAACATGGTAGCAAGTCATCTAACTCAAAGCAAGCAATAGAAATAGAAAACTACAAAAATTCAGAAAGAGAACAAACAATAAATCCCAAGATATCTTGAAAATCAAGTAGCAATGCTAATTCACCAAAATGCTCTACTGTAAGAGAACAATGTTATATTAACTTCTTGAAAATAATTATTCTATTTTTGTTTTATTTAATTAGATTCTTCCAGCACCACAACTTGTGAACAATTTTTGTAGAATAAGTATTGTTCATGTAATTCAAAGCAGTGTAACTTATAAGTCAATAAGGAATTATATCAATTTATGTTTCCAAGTAACTTACATAATTGAAAGTGGTAGTTTATTATCAGGGAAAATAAACTTTTTAAGGTCCCAACAAATTTTGAAACTTGTTTATGATTCTCTCCAATGACTCTCGTCTTTTCTGATTGTATATTTTGCTTGAACAGAAATACAATTCAGCAGGGAGGAAAAAGTGACCAGGTTGACATGCACTCTCTATTTGAAGAGAAACAAAAAAGAGAACAGAAGGTATCGTCCATTGCACAAGACTTTTCCGTCTTTCCCATCTCCTAGAAAGACTGAACTTTATGGACTTTATATCACATAACAATCAAGAAAGTGAAACTGACAAGAATAGATTCTCTGAAAAAATGCGATATGTTTCTGCGACTGTACATGGACTGCACATCTTCAAGGTGCAAAGAGGGCATTCTTCAACATTCCAGAAGAAACTAAAGAAGAGTTAAAACTATAATTATGTTGATTAAGTATTTTCAGATATTTTTTTGCTTATTTGAGATAGAATATGACAAACCAGTGTAACTACATTTGAATTATTAAAGAATAAACAACATAATAATGGATAAAACTTTGATTCCAATAAGGGAATACTTAAAGAAATATCAAGCTAGACAAAATCAATTGGATTCTATACCTGATAATATGGTTCAAGTCAAATTACAAACTAAACCTCATCAATAAAAGGTCCAAATTCAAGCTAAAAATAACATATTCTTCAAGTTTACTGGTCAGATAAGCCTAATTAGACGATGTAAATGTATTGAGTAGGTGGAATAATTAACAAGTAGAACAGTATATAGTCAACTATGAAGAAGAAGCAACTAAGAAAGAGTGGTTAACCTTCATAGCTGCAGTTCCGAAGCAACGCACTAACAACGTGCCGAGTTGATTCATCATTTTCCACCAGTAGAACCTTAACAGACCTCAGAGGAAGTAACCTTTCCCAATGAACCACTGAACCTTGAGGTCCCTGGGGCTTTAGCTGTTGTGTTTGTGAAACAGCGTGGGTTTGTACAAAATCTGTGTCCCGGACACTCACATAGTCAGAATCTCCATTAATCCTTGACCCTTCTTCCTCCAAGGTCCCAGGTGTGTCACTTGTAACTCCATTTCTTACTTCATTCTGATTATCCCGCTTTAGGTGGTGATTGAGTTCCTCCAACCTATTGGCTGGGGGAGCATCAGTGTCCACTCGAAAACCCCTCATCAACCAGATGGATGACAGTTCACGAAAAAGGTATCAGATTGAGTCCCGATCTTTTACAGATTAAATCTATTCATACAAGTGCCGTTGTCTTCAAGTGACGAGCCTTTTCAAAAAGCAATTCTTCGATGAATTCTATGACAGTAACTCAGTTAGATGAAGAGCAAGGGCACATATCAAAATATACATAAATGAATTTGTATGTCTATAATATAACTGTTCAGATTCGATACCTGATGCTAGATACAAGAGCAAGGATATCTCTAAAACAGTTTCTGCCTTCTAACACCTTTGCCCTACATTCAAACAAGCAGCTATATCAGTTCGTCTAAATTATTCACTCACACAAAACCTTTTTTTTTTTTTTTTTTC